CTTCTCTATCTTAAAAACAAAAAATATACAAAGATGCAAGATTATCCAATGGTGCAATCTTCAATTGTAAAAAAAAATTAACTATAAAAGCTACCTACATAGACCATAGTAAGGGACTAAATAAACCATTTTTTAAAAATTATGCACACGGGCCCGGCATGGTGGCGCAAGTGGTTAAAGGTCCTCGCCTTGCACGCCCGGGATCCCATATGGGCGCCGGTTCTAATCCCGGCAGCCCCGCTTCCCTTCCAGCTCCCTGCCTGTGGCCTGGGAAAGCAGTCGAGGACGGCCCAAAGCTTTGGGAACCTGCACCCGCGTGGGAGACCCAGAAGAGGCTCCTGGCTTTGGATCGGCATAGTATCGGCCCGTTGCGCTCACTTGGGGAGTGAATCATCGGACGGAAGATCTTCCTGTCTCTCCTCTCTGTATATCTGCCTTTCCAATGAAAAAATAATAAAAATAAATCTTAAAAAAAAAAAAAATAAAAATAAAAACTATGCACACAATGGAGCATGAGGTGAATTTTTAAATGCAAAACATGTCTAAAGTCAATATAAAGAAGAAATACATAGTACGTTCCTCAGAGTCTTTAATGACTGTGTACATAGAATGGCATGTTTATGCAAATTCTAGGACATCAAAACACCCTTTGAACAATGATTATCACTGACGTACGAACATTTTGGGGTAGAGGAACAAGGTAGGGAAGAATGGGTCTTACTTTGCAACATACACTCTTTACAGACTTAGTTTTTTAAAGGGTTTATTTTTATTAGAAAGCCAGATCAGATTTTATGGTGACAGAGAAATATCTTCCACCCACTGGTTCACTCCCCAAATGGCCACAATGGTCAAAGCTGACTCAATCCGAAGCCAGAAGCCAGGAGCTTCCTCCAGGTCTCCCAAATGGGTGCAAGGTCCCAAGACTTTGGGCCATGCTCTAATGCTTTCCCAGGCCATAAGCAGGGAGTTAGATTGGAAGTGGGACAGCTGAGACGCAAACCAGTGCTCATACGGAATCCTGGCATTTGTAAGGTGAGGATGTAGCAATTGGGCTATTGCATCAGGCCCAAGAGGATTAAACATTTTAGTATATGTGGTCACGTATACATTTATCACACATGAGGAATCTTCAAAAGTTCCTGGAAAACATGTTATGAATAAAATGTGTGGATTTCAAATTCTTTTGCATCAAAAAAAAAGTTTGAAATCAACCAGGCTCAAAAGTATTTTGAGAAAGTTAAGCATCAGGTGACAAGCTAATATTTATGAATGGTAGATTTGAACTGTGGCCTTATCTTAAAAATTCTTCATGCTTATTGCATCCAGAGCTTCAAAAATGTTCTTGCATACAATTACCAACAATGGATATTCAATACATACTCTGCCACTTACTTTACAGTTTTTTTCTTTTTAGTAGCTGAGTTCTCCACTTGTTGCCACCAGCATGTCACTAACTGAAGTGCTGGTGTTATTTACATATTCACTATATTAAGCTTACCATGGCAAACAGCAAAGTTCTTTTTAGCTCTAAGCAAACTAACTGCCAAGGATCTGCTCTGGTCGACACAGGCTAAGTCCACCTTCTGTATTTAACACTCTAAAGCCATACTTTTGTTGCTTGTTCAGTCCAGATGGGAAGACTTCTAGGCAGCACTGAGTCGGATAATTCTTCTTTTCACAATATTGTGGATGCAGTGCACACATGAAAAACCCCAGGCGAATGCCCTCTAAATGTAGGCCCCTACCTGTCGGGTGACTGACAGCCAAGCCAGCCCCACTCCAACAGCCCCTTCCGGGACCCCAGCACATGCAAGGCAAGGACTTCAGCCATGAGGCTGAGGCACTGGGCCCTGGCGCAATTTTTTAACAGTTCCTGCTTTAATGACCTGTGGTTTTAACACTTACTAACAGGGTTACTGTGAGGAATTCTAATGTGACAGATTCACAGCTTAAATAATGAGAAGGAGATAAAAGCATTTGTTCCTTATACATTCAGAGAATCCTTGCAGATATTATACTTCACACTGAAGAGATTCTTTAAAAAAATGATGAAGAGTACAAAGCACATGTTTTCTCTGTTTTTAAAATAAAAATCCCCAGGGCCAGTGCTGTAGCATAATAGGTTAGGCCACTGCCTGGGGCACTGGCTCAAGTCCCGGCAGCTCCAATTCTGACTCAGCTCCTGCTAGAGTGCCAAAGTGCTCGGCCCTGCACCCATGTGACAGATGTGGACAAGGCTCCTGGCTGATCTGTCTCTCCTTCTCTGTAACTCACCTTTGAAATCAGTAAAAATAAATCCTCAAAAATAATTGCCACACCTTAAAATGACATCCTACCAAATAGGCTATCAACGGTGAGACGGAACACAGACACTCTTGGAAAGAACCGACACTCTAGTCAAACCATGAACGCATAACTTCCAACCTTCCTGTGGCAACCTTGTAAACTACAAACCCCCCAGAGTGGCCAGCATCATTTTTCAGCAGCACCTGAGAGCATAAGCCTCTTCTGAAACGAACAGAGCCCAGACTGCCTCCACAGCACTAAGCACTTGCAACCAGTACTGAGTTATCAGTGCCTCTTTGCTTTGAAGACAATCACAAGAGAATGAATTTTCTAAAAGGAAAGAAGATGAAAGACAATCAGGGTATTAAGAACTGAACAGAAAACACCAACTTCAATGAACAGTCTTGGTAAAGTCCAGATTGAGTAGGTATAGAATGAGCTATCACATACATGCTCCTTCACCCCCAAATTGATCTATTTGAAAAGCAGAGTCAGAGACAGACACACAGAAAGGAAGGGAGGGAGAAACAGAGAGCGAGAGCTTCCCACCTGCTGGTTCACTTCTCAAAAGGCCTAATGGGCTAGGCTAGGCCACAATGAAGCCAGGAGCCTCACCATGAGAGCTTCTCCCTAGGGTGGCAGGTGCCAGGTACTTGGGCCACATTCTGTTGCTTTTCCAGGCACATTAGTAGGAAGCTGGATCAGAAGTGGAGCAGCCAGGGCTTGAACTGGTGCCCATCTAGGATGCCAACATTACAGGCAGTGGCTTAATTCACCGTGCCACAACACCAGGCCTGAGACTCTTACAGCTCCCAAGCAATGCAGAGACTTTTTGCCTACAGATCATTCTTCGAGCAGCAAGGAAAGACCACACACCATTTCAAATGAGAAATAATTCTCGACAGATATTCTTCCCCGAGCACTTCTTTCCTTTGCTTTTGTTATCAGAGCAATTTCCTCATCAGTAAGTACTGAGTGGTGTCACCCAGGTGGCTAATTCTGTATTCAGCCAAATCTCATCAACTCAGAAGGAAAGTGTCTGAACAAACCAGACCGACCAATCAACCAAGCCAAAAACACAGAAACTTGAACAAAGTTAAGGTACTCCAAATGCTAAAATGAAGTTTCTTGAATGAATTGCCCTCCATACATTTAAACCTGAAAACAAATATTCTGTAAGAACAATAAGTTATTCAATGCAAATAAACCAGCCTGTTGTAAAGTGTCTTCAGAAAGAACCTTGACTGGTCTTACTTCTATGAAGTTTTTGCCCTTTTACCATACAAATACCACATTCTGAACAAACTGCTGTACATAACAACACAGATGTGGAACAGGAACAAACTACACACTGCAAGTTGCTGGGGGAAAAAAACCAAGTGTCTTATAAAATAGATCTGCTACATCCTTCTGAAAGCCAGTTGTTAACTGTTTAGAAAGCAGGTTCACTACTTCAACAAGACTTCCTGACCACCCAGGACAGGTCAGGCGCCTGCTGCCTGCTGGGGGGGAAGGTCTGGATGGAGGAGTTAGACCTTTCAGGGCTGCAAGGCTTCCTGTTCACCTGTTTTACCAGAATCTCCTTTCCTTCAGGCCGCGGTGCTAACCAGACTGTACAATACCCAATGTCCCACACTGTGCTTGCATAGAATGAGTAAGAAACGCATACAATCTGAAATGCGAAAATTGAGCAGAAAACAAATCCTGCTTTTGATAAGCCAGTTTCCTAAAATATAAATCTACCTGAAAGTTAAATGTGTGGGGGCAGAGAGCTGAACAGATAAACCCACCACCTAAACAAAAAACAAGCAATTCCCACAAATACATAAATGAATACTTGGGGTCGGTGTGAACCAGGCATATGAATGTTGTCTTCCATTAAACAAACAAAAGTGTACCCCATACATAAACCTAACGAACGTTCCAGCCACGAGGTTTGATGCTCTAACGCAGGACCAGGTCAGGGAAGTGGCCATTGCCGACGTGACCGACGCCTGTGCCCTGAACCTCAAGCCCAGCCGCAACAATCAACCAAGAGGGCCCACTCTGAAAACCCAAGTGGCCACGGGGACCTGAGCCCCCGAGAAGGGCACCACGAGCCGCTGCTGGGGTGCCCCGGGGCCGGTGTCCCAACGCCTCACTCCCCATTCCAGCCGGCTAACCTAACACACACCACGTGTTGAGTCGGCGTCCCAAGCGCCAACTTCTTAATCAGGAAAAAGTTTTTTGTTTTTTTTTTTTTTTTAATGCGCTACTCCCTGTACGTGATGAAAACAGATGTAGTTCCTACAAGCCCAGCACCGAGACGAGGTGCCAACCGAGGGCAGTCGCCCGCTCGGCTGTCAGCGACGGGGGAACAGTCAAGTTCAGCCGCGAGGCCGACGAGGCCGGCGGAGGAGACAAGCTTTGGGTCCCCAAGCCTGGACACGAGGCCAGGCCGAGACGGGGTGAGGCGAGGCGGCTGCTGGGCACCCGAGCCCCGCTCCTCCGAGAGCCCACAGAGCAGGCCCGGCACCCGACGCCTGCGAAGATGCTGGGGCGCCAGGCAGGCAGGCAGGCGGGACCCCCAAAACCCCGGCGGGGGAGCGGCCCCGACCCAGCATCCAGACCCCGAAGCGCAGGGAGCCCCCGGGACCAGCCCCGACCCTCCGCCGCCGCCGCCGCCGCCCCGCACCAGGCCCACAGGCCTGAGTCACCGTCCGCGCGGCTACCTTCGGCTGGGAACTCCTCGAACTCGTCGTCCTCCTCCAGGAGACCCAGGTCTGCCGGCTGCTTCTTCTCGGACATGGCTACCCGCCTCGGCCGAGCGCTCGCAGGCGAACAGGAAGCTTGCAGGCCTCGCTCCTCCGCAGCCCACTCCGCCACCGGCGAGGCCGGCGCTACCACAGAGACGCGGAGGCAGAGCTACGCAGCGGCGCGAGGAATGCTGGGACGGCGAGGTCCTCCGAGCGCGGCCCGCCGCCTCGGCCGCCTTTTGGCTTTGCTGTCAGGGACTCTTAGACCGCGCTAAGCCTGCCCGGACTGACAGAGACGCCGAGTGTAAGAAAATCAAATATCTAAAGGGAGGGTGTCACTGAGGGAAGCACCCAGAATGATGTCTGGTCCTAGCAGCCATACCCCAAGGCTGAAATAACATCTCCACATCCCGAAAGAATCGAGCAGAAACCCAGACCCCCACCTTTCTGGATGTTGGCATGACTTGGCAGTTGCAAGTCTCTGTGTGAGCCGTAACTCTGGTTTACAGGTTCTTAGAAAACAGCGCGAGGTAAAAATGGGCACGTTTTATGTTCAAAATGTGTCAGTCACGTAGACTTGTTTATGCGTGCAGGGATATTGTCTGCGTTCAAAGTTTTAAAAAAAAGTTAACAAATATTAGAAATTAAATTTAAAATTTGTTCAATAGCTTGTGGATGTGGTGGTAACACTTGTTGGAACTTGGTAGGTAGTATAGAGAGATCCTAGAGGCAGATACAGTATGTATAGATAGTATAGTATGGCTGTGTGATAGGATGTATGTCTCTAGGGGGTATTTTCACACATCTTGTTCACACGTGTTTCTTTAGTATGTAAATCCCTTCCTGCATTGAGCAGCCTTCACTCACAGCCTCCCCTCAGCCCTGTGCCTGGAGCATCACAAGGGGGGCCCTTCTCTTCAGAGTCTGAGTCTACTGGGGGACACACAGCCGGCAGATAAGATCAATGTGTCTTGGTGCAAGAATTTTGAAAACCATGCATAGTTTGTTTCACAATATGCATTTGTCATGAACTTTCTGAAAGCCCCTTACACGCATGGATTTTTACAATTTTTGCACCAACGTGAATGTATCCCTAAATCCATGTGGACAGTTCCAAGTAGTCCTATGTTTTAATGAGCTTGATTTAGCCTTCCCACAGTGTAATACATCCTTCGTATCATAAATTCACAGAGGGGCCATCAACTTGACACAGTTTGCTGATTGTCAGCTCTACCACGGGGTGAACATGAACGTGATACTCATTGAGCACAAACTGTACTTAAATTTTGAATTTCCAGCATTTCCCAGCTTAACTACATGGGCTGCTGTTCCATGCTGGGCAGTGCCTGGAGTTGTGCATGGAGCTGTGGATTCTAGTCACGTCTGTCCACACCAGAATAACTGAACATTCTACAGTGTACCCTGGAAATTCAGAATTAAGTATATGAATGCATTTCCGTTTACAATAATTCCAGTTTGTGATGGGTTACTTGGAACATAACTCCCTTATATGTTAAAGAATATCTACACAGAATTTTGTCAATTACAATTTTTTTTAAATTTAAAAAAAAACATTTTTGCCAAGATGTCAAAAAATCTAAATTTTAGTTGACCCACCATTTAGTTCATCTGAATATGATGAAGTTTTTATCAGTCCTTAGCAAAAGAAAAGCCAACAGTATAATGTTTCTCACCCTAACACTATGTTCCTTTCAAAGTATCATTTTTTTTAATTTTGAAAAATTTCACTAGTTCATGAAGTCCAGCAAGCAAAATCACTGGAATAACTGCTCTCTTCAATTGCTGTGGCACTTAGAAATGACAAATATTCAAGTGTGAGAGGTGTTATCACCTGGTTAGGTTAACATGTAAGAAAACATGTTTGTACATTAGTTCATAAATTCAGTCTCTGTTGTACATCAGTTCATAAATTCAGGCTCCAGAGAAAGGGGCTAGATAACTTACTTAATTTCTCTGTTAGTATATTTTACTTTTTTGCAGAGTCATAGTTAAGCTTCTTGTGTGTATATTAATTGTATGATTGTATGTATAATGGGCTCAGTGTCTGCCTGCCAGGTTAATACACGTTAGCTCTTGTTATAAAAGGAACTTACATTTCTTTTTTTAATGCTCTCATATCTCCTTATTAATTCTAAAGTGTCTAAGCTTAGGTTTTGTTCCCACAAGAAAATCTTGGTGATACTTTAAAGATAGTCAATTACTCCCTCAAGCAAATAGTAATAATCAATAAATGTATTCTTTAACGTTTACCTCGTATCAATCAATAGGCCATGCACATTTTATATGTTCACTCAATCCTCCATACGGCAGCCCTAGTAATTGAGTAAATTCAAGCATTTTTTACATTAGCGAAAACTAAGACCAAGATTGATAAAGAACCAAGGTCACTGTGCTAACAGGGCCTTCTTGCAGGACAGGAAACAAAAGATGCAGAGGCAGACAGTGACGTGAGAACTCCCCGAATAATGCTTTCCTAACACCTCTTGAACTCACGTGAGGAAATGATGGAGCCGACACTGTGGGGCTGTGTGCCCTTCCAGACCCACCTGCTCTACTTCTGAGCCAGCTCCCAGGCAATGCACCTAGGAGGACAGTAGAAGATGGCTCAAGTTCTTGGGCTCTGCACCCATGTGGGGGACCCAGAGGAAGCTCCTGGCTCCTGATTCAGTCTGAGCCAATGTTACTATTTGGGGAGTGAACTAGCAAATGAAAAGTCCCTTCTCTTTCTCTCTGAATTTCCTTCTCTTCTCTGTAGCTCTGCCTTTCAAATACAGTAGGTCATTAAAAAAAAAATGACCCTACAAAGAATAATGCTCACATAAATGTAGGCAGAAATGCAGACAGCAAAGAGGTGGAATGAAGAAGGTTGCCAAATCTCTAGGACAGACTTAGCTGTCTGTGTCCAGAAAAAATCACAAATCTTAGAGAAGCATTTGGACTCAAAATTGTGCTTTACATATGTCTCATTATCATATCTTTGATTGAATCATGCTACCTTCACAGGAAGCCACATTAGCATATTTTGCAGTAGATAATTTCATTTCTCAAGTAAAAATTTTTCTCTCCTTAAAATTCCATTAAGATTCCAGCCATAAAGTTGGTCTGCAACACAATTCAGGAAACTTTTCTGGATTCAGGAAGCACAATTCAGGTCCATGTTTTCAGGCAGCCATCAAAAACCATGATCAAAGTTCCAAATATTATTTGTGGTGCATCCATGTGAAATTTGATAAGAAAAAAAGGGGAATATTGAAAGGCTGGACAAACCAAGCCATATAGGAAATCTTCGATTTCACAGAAATCCATAGCTCCCTGTTCAGGTGTTCGTTATTTCTGGGCCTTTGAACCTTTGCTCTGAAGCAGATCTTGACGGACTCCAAGAAAAGGCAGATTCTGGATACCTAGAACTAGCTCTGAGTTTTAATGTGATAGATGTTCGGAGTTTCTCTCTCTTTTTCTCTCATTATTGTAGTAAGATTTAGTTTGAGCTTACCCTCCGAGCAAATTTGCAAGCACACAACACAGAGTTTACATCACAGCTCTGAAATGCACTCACATTACCTAACTGAAACTTTATATGTACTGAACAACAACTCCCCAGTTCCCACTCCCCCAGCCACCATCTATTCTCTGTTTCTGCTTGGCTACTCTAGATGCCTGTGTAAGTGGACTCAAGCAGTGGTTGCCCTGTGATTGATTGTTTTACTTAGAATAATGTCTTCAGGGCCAGTGTGGCACAGTGGATTAAGCCATTGATTGTGATACCAAATACCATTTCTGAGTATCACTTGCAGCCCATTTCTAATCCAGTTTCCTACTGAAGTGCCTGGTAAGGAAGCAGAGAATGGCCCAAGTGCGGGTGCCCCCACCATCCAATGGGAGGCCATGGTGGAGCTCCTGGCTCCTGGCTTCAGCTTGGCCTGGACCTGGTTGATGTCACCATTTAGGGAGTGAACCATCAGGAGGAAGATCTCTTGATCCTGCTCTCTCTTCCTTTCAAATAACTGACTAAACCTTTTTTTTTCCCCAAAGTCTTCAGTGTTCTTCCATTTTGCACACTTGGCAGGACGGACTTCCTTCTTTTTTTAAGGCTCAGTACATTCTAATATATGTGTCTACCACATTATCTTTATCTACTGAATGGACATTTATTTTTGTTCTGCATGTTGGCTATTGTGGATATCGCTGCGGTGTGCCAGGATGGAAGTGCAGGTTTCCCTCTGACATTCTGATTTCAGTTTCTTTGGATATACAACCACCTGTGGGATAACTGAATCATGTGGCGGTTCTACTTTTAATTTTTTAAAGAGCCACCGGACTGTTTTTCATAGAGAATCTGCCATTGTATAACAATCCTATTAACAGTATGTAGGGTTCTAGCTTCACATCCTCTTAAGGACTCATCATCTTTAACATTCTAACCAATGTGAAATATCATAGCATCATGATTTTGGATTACATTTCTATGATGATTTGTAATGCTGAAAGTCTTTTCATCCATCTGTGGACTATTTGACTGTCTTCTTTACTAACTGAAGTTATTCATTTTATAATTAGGGTGTTTTAAAAAAAAAATATCCTCATTAATATCCAGTGATTAAACTTTGTGAAGCATTACAATCCCAGTAGAAGAAATGACACTTTTCTCATGACAAAAACTCCTGGGCAAATAAAATCTGAAAAATCATAATTTTTTTTGAAAAATCATAATCTTAAAATAACTGAAATATCTAGATTTCGTTGTAGAACAATTAATAATGAATAAGGAAACAGTTCTATAAATTTCAAATGCTGATAATCAGAAGTATGAAATCTACCCAAAGTAAAAGCACAGCCAAAAAAGGACTCATCTTGCACCAAAATACATGTTCAAAAATCGATATTTGCATGCCCAAGACTTGTTTGAAAAGGCGATTATGGTCTCATAAGTAAATCATAAGAATTTTTAAAATTTTGTAAATGCTGTATTTATATGACAGACAAGAACCACTCTGAAGGAATCATTATGGTTTGGGAAATGATATGCAATTTCAAAATCATCTAAATCATTTCAATTGCCTGTATTTACATTTATATAATGGGTATTTATAATGGTGATTATTTTAGAACTTACCTTGTTTTCCAGGATCTCACACT